ACCCACCAATTGAAAATCATTGTTGCACGACGCCACCCGAATTGCTCCGATTTCCATTCAGCGATCACACCTCCACCTGAGTTTAATCACCATTGACAGCTGTTTTTTGATTTATTTGTTGGTATTTTAGCAATTTAAAGTGTTCTAGTTATTCAATTTCAAGTTCAAAATGTCACGATGTATCTTGAAAAATTGTATGTACTTATAATACAAGTACTACTGTTATGAATATATTCGTTTTCAGCGGTAAATATTTATTAACGTTTTGACATAAAGCGCCATGATTATCTGGGCTGAATACTTCAGATCCGCATTAAGGGGTTTCAATAAATATTAAGCATCAGATTTCATATTACTTACATAAATTTAGAAAAGAGTAAAATTTTGAACATTTAATTTAAATAAATAGTAAATAGGCATTATTGCTAACGAAATTTTGTATTTAAATAGTAGTTTTATAAGAATGTTTTCTAAAGGTAGTTTTTAGCCCTTTTTGGTAGATAAATAAGAGGTTAAGAATCATAGTTGCTAGCTCAATTATTTTTATAAGGTATTTTTATAAGGTATTTTTATAAGGTATTTTTATAAGAATATTAGATGAAATACAGGATGACCTACTTAAAATTTCAAGGTTCATCTTATTTGCGGTCAAATCGAAAGTGACATTGAATTTTCAGTCTTAAAACAAAGTAATCTAGTATAAACAAAAAAAAATACTAAAGTTACAGGAGTTAGGTCCGATTCCACCGTTGTGTTAAACGGAGATTAAAATGACAGTGTTAATGTAAAAATGTCATTTTAAACTTCGTTTAACACAACGGTGGAATCAACCCTTAGTCACGTTAATAAAATGTTACATTACAAACCCCTAAACAACTCGAACATAATTTTCGTTTACTAAAAAAAATCCAAAATTTAGCAATATTTATTTATTATACAAGCGAATGCGATTTCAAAGATAACTGGATCAAAAAATCCGAATCTCTAAATTTTGGAACTAAATGCTCAGATAAAAGCAAGCGACCGATAGGGGTTACAAAAATAATCGATTTATCGATAATTCTGATATTTTTTAATGAAAATCGATTTATCCGCTGTATTTAATAAATTATTTTCGTTTTTTTTTTAAGATAATGTATTAATCGATTTTAAAGGAAATACAGAAAAAGTACATTTATTCAAAATTATCGATTTATCGTTTAATCGGTTTTTTAATTATTTGTTTATTTTCGATTTTTCAAAGATATTATATGAAAATAATCGATTGAATATAATCGGTTATTTTACATAATCGATATTTTGGTTATTTTTTTAAAATTATTGATTTATTGGATAATCAGCTTTTTAATAATCAATTATTTTCGATAATCGAATAATCAATTTCAAAGGAAATATGGGAATCGGCTTCTTAATTAATTGGTTATTTTCGATTAGGCGATTATTTTGGAATTATTGATTATTTTTGGTATTTCAAAGATAACCGAATTATCGATTTTAAAGGAAATAAAATAAAAATAGATTATTGATAATAATCGATTGATCGAAAACAATCGATTATTTAAAATAATCGATCATTCTGTTTTTTTTGAAAATCGATTTGTCAGTTAATCGACTTTTTAATTAATCGAATATTTTTGAAATACAATAAAATAGATTATTGGTAATAATCGATTTATCATAGAATCGGCTTCTTAATTAATTGATTATTTTCGATTAGGCGATTATTTTGGAATTATCGATTATTTTCGGTATTTCAAAGATAATCGAATTAACGATTTTAAAGGAAATACAATAAAAATAGATTATTGATAATAATCGATTGATCGAAAATAATTAATTATTTAAAATAATCGATCATTCTGTTTTTTTTTTAAATCGATTTATCAGTTAATCGACTTTTTAATTAATTGATTATTTTTGATTAATCGATTTTTTTCGATTTTTCAAAGATTATCGAATAATCTGTTTCCATGGACGAAAAAAAAAATGGTTTATTTGAAAATAATCAATTATTTAAAATAAACGATAATTCTATTTATATTATATTTTGTAAACACTGATTTATCGGTTAATTGGCTTTTTAATTAATCGATTATTTTTGATTTTTCAAAGATAATCAAGTAGTCGATTTTAAAGGAAATGACAAAAAATATATTGTTTGAAAATAATCTATTGATCGAAAATAATCGATTATTTTCAATTATCGATAATTTATTTCGATAATCACTCATCCCTAGCGACCAAATGACTTTTAATAGATTTAAATTTTAAAATGTTATCTGGTTTCAGACATATGCATTTCTAGAGTTTTATGTGACTCATCCTTTATAATAAATAATATTCTTAAAGAAAGAAGCCGTAATATACTTTTTCTGAGGTTACAATACAAAACAGCATTTTCTCATTTTGACTAATTTTTAATAATATGTAATAGCCGTAGAAAAAATATAATGTTCAACTCATAAGGGTAGATTTGCAGTATTAGCCTGCGCACATGCTATTTTTATAATACTCGTAGACAATGAGTAACATTTTTTGCTCTATTAACAATATATTCTATTTCAACATTTTACTGTAATCTCTTGCAGAAAAGTCCGTAGTAAATAAACGCTAACGAAATATTCTATAAAAGGTCTTCTCTTTACATAAAATGTCGTGGCATCTGTTTGATATTAAAAAATCACGATAATTTGATTTCATAATACAAAATTCGATTAAACACCTTTTAAATAAACCTAATAGTTCATTATGTTGCTAATAAACAAAGTCCGGTCCCTGTCACAGAGTTCGGGTCGCCGCGTGTCGCCGCCCAGTTCCCCCACTCCGTTAACCCTTCTTTAGAAATTGGCAACATTTGCGCAGGTTTAAAACCGGTGTATGTTATATCTCTGGTCTCTTTTATCTAAGGTATTTTTGGATAAAATTCACAATGTTGGGATGCTATATCATTAATGGAGAAATTCTCGACTCCAGTCTCTAATGGAGTCTGATTATGTAACAAATTTCGTTCGAACTCAATTACGGCGGGTTGAGCATGAGTAGATGCGAAAGTGGTGTCGCCATCTATACTTAGTAAGCAAAATCAAAAATTACATCTAGTGGATATCCACGATGGTTTGCGTTCGCGCCTAGACTTTGATATATTTAGTGGATGTCCATGGGATATTGAATACACCTTAAACAAATTAATTTTAAATATCTGAACGGTACTATTTTAGCCACAAATTGCTATATAATTACTATTATTTATGGACATTTGCATGTCTATAAATTGCATCTCATGGATATAAAATAGATATCCACCATGGACTGGACATTCAGTGGATATTGGTATGTCCAGAAGATATACAAGGATTGGTGTGCGGTCTGGGTGGGGGTTAACAATGGCAGAATATAGATATGTATTAGTACAGATGTAGGTAAACACTTTCAGTCTTTGGTATTATACAGTGAGCATCATAATTCTTACCCCCCCCCCCCCTATCTAACTCATTACTGGAGTCTTGTTAGGAAAATCGCCGAGACACGTCGATTTTTGTTTTCTACAATGTACAATTTTGTATGAATAGTTTACCCTTAATTTCATCCCTTACTGGAGGGGAGCAACCCTTTTGAAAAATTTAAATGGCATGGGGTGGTGAGTGATAGTTCATTTGAAAGAGAGTTTTATTCTCTATTCAACCGTGTAAAAATTTTTGAAATTTGCTTCATTAATTCTCGACTAATTGTTGTTTCAGAATAACGGAAATTAACGCAGCGCACTCATCCTTAGAATTAAAATTCGGCTCTGCATGATTTCGGTTTTGGTTTAGACGTGAAGTAAGGCTTTTTGCCATTAGAAGGTCACTGTTAGTTTAGTTGCTTTCCTATTTTGTGAGGTTTTGTTATTTTTAAACATTAATAAATCAACACGTAATGAAGCAAATTTAATTTTTTTTTGCACGGTTGAATAGAGAATAAAACCCCCTTTCAAATGAGCTATCACTCACCACCCCATGCCATTTAAATTTTTCGAAAGGGTTGCTCCCCTCCAGTAAGGGATGAAATTAAGGGTAAAATAATCATACAAAAATATACATTGTAGAAATCAAAAATCGACCTGTCTTGGCAATTTGCCTAACAAGACTCCAGTAATGAGTTAGATAAGGGGGTAAGACTTATGGTGCTCACACTGTATATATACCTTTTTATACCTATATCTTTGTAAAACACGGAAAGTTTTTTACCTACATCTGTACTGATTTATATATGTTAACCACTGTCCCTTGTATTGGACATCTACCCAAAAACTTAAATTCAATTTATATATTTTATTTAAAGACAATCTAGTTTTTCAGTTTAATGAAAAAATAAACTAAATCAACAATGTTCTCCACTTTAATGCCATGTATCTCGAAAACTGGTCATAGTACCGGATTTAAAATCCATAACTCTTAAAACGGTGTTCAAATTATTATATACCGAGAAAGTACATATTAGACCTGGGAAAGTTTAAGGTGTTTGTGGTTTCTGTACTTTTATTAAAATAGAATATCTTCCAACAAATAAGCCGTCTTGTTATATTTTGAAGCTTGTACGCATATTTGAGTGATTACTTTCCCCAAAAATCAACTTATAGTACAGGGTTTTGAAGTAATCCCTAAAAAAAATTATTTTGTGGTTCTCACTATAAAACACCCTGTATAAGAAATGTGTATTGTGCAGTATGTGGTCGACAAAATAGCTTATCGAGTAGTACTTTTTGAAAAAATGCTTCCCTTACGTCATACTAGAATTAAATTTTACAAAAAACTACCGTCACATTTGTGAATTACCCTGTAATAAAATATTTTTAATTGTATGCATGTCATATTATATTAAAAACATATTAAACGCATTAAACGTGTGTATGCAACATAAATTCAATCTAGCTCGTAAGTTGGAAAATAAAAATTCCGAAAAATTGGGTAATTTTTCAGTATATCCCTACAAATACGATAATATTGGGACGTCTGGCAACACTCCTACGCATGCCCTACGCAAAGCACTGACAAATGACATGACACTTTATATGACAGTATGACGTATGACACTTACAAGACAAGAACAAGAAGAATCGCAACGATTTCTTCTACGCGTCTGTAAAAAGTGAGCGTTAACCTACGGAGTAAAAAAAGTTCTCTTCTTTAAATTGAGAAGATGAAATCAGAAGTAGAACACGAAGAAAATGAAGAATTTCAACAATATTATGAAAGGAATATGCTAACTTGTTTTGGTTGCAACTTTGAAACTGAAAATATTGATGAACTTGATGAACACATTCTTATTAACCACGATGGTGATGAAACTGAACCCGTTGAGCAAAAATATCAAATCGTTGCGGATGAGGAAGAGGAAGAAGTTTCAGCGAAAAACTCGAAATATATGAATAAACAAGTTAAAACAACTACTAGGGTAGATATACCTAATAGAAAAATACCAAGAGGGAAAATTATCATCAGACCCCGAGAAACGAAGTTTGAAATATGTAACGATACTAAATTCAGTGTAGACGATGATGATGATTTGGATCCGTCTCCACCAAAAAGAGCAAAGAGGACACCAGCAGAAGAAATGAAATGCCATTTATGTCCTTTTATTACTCAGAAAAAGAGCGTATTGTCTACTCACATGCTCAATCATTCCGATGTAATACCTCCAGTTTATTTCAAGTGTTCCCAGTGCCCTTATCAGACTAAAAGGAAAAACGATATGCCAAAGCATATGTTGGGCCACTGCAGCAATGGTAAATTTTTTAATATTTTTTTCTATACAAACTAGAACACAAACTATAATGTCAAAGCTTTGGTCTGGCATGATAAAACTATTATTAACACATTAAAGGACATTACTGCAATAGAAGTTCATGTTTGTCCACTTTTACTGAATACTTCTGTATTAACAGTGCTATTTGCCCCGCTTTCTTGAATTTCCTCATCCTTCTCATGATTTTATACTAAATTCGACTTTAGCAAGGTACTCAATTGAACAAGGCGAATTGAATTAAAACTTTCACTGCCCACAATTGCTCTTACATTTGGCCAAGTGAAATCCATGTGCCTACAAAGTGGCTACCGCGTTTAGAATATATTTGATTTTATATTGAGCTGAACAAGTGGGCACACATTTTATTAATGTATTTATGTTGGGCACTCAGATAAGACTTGTCAGTAACTGAAATAGGTGGCCGATCCTAAAATTTGTTTATATTTATCAAGTGATAGTATTAGTTACAGATTAGTTGTAAAAAGTGCTTATTAGTGAAATATTAGAAGATTAAAGTTTTTGTTACCAAATAATTTTTTTTGTTCAGCTTTTTATTATTTTTAATATTTTGATATCACAAAGAATATCCATTTAAATTTTTTATTTGTGATTTTAGCCAAGAATTAGTGTTTAACTTCATTATTATAAAAACAAAGATAGAAGTATAACTTTTCAAAAAATTGTTGGGTATTTTTATCAAAACAGCAAGACTGCCTTGTAGGCATATATGCCATTTTTTGTAGCTGGGTGCCCTCAATGCGTCTCACACGTTTTTTTGTCAGTTCACCAACTTGTATAAAAGTAAACCTATTTTCTTTCAAAAAATAAAGCAAGTAAACCTACGAGCCCTAATAACTAAATGTTCGGACAAGCAATAATTTATTAAAAACATTAATTTACATGAACTAAATTATTAAATTGAAGAACTTCAGTAACGATATATTACAATTATTTATATTTAATATTTAAATGATTTGGTTTTTAAACACATTAAAATACCTATTGGACTGAATTTTCAGTTCAGTAAATGACAATTAGTATTATTATTATTCATTAAAATACACTGTATGCGAATAAATAAACAAAAATATTGCAGATTATCATGACAACTAAATGTTCGAAAAATTTACAGAATTACTATTTTAATATAGCGTTATATCGCCACGCGCTTTTACAACCACTGCAATCCTATCTGGCATTGTTTTTATCAATGATTGACATAAATCAGGGTCAAAACTTTGCCATAATTCATCCAATTTCTTCTTCAAATCGACAACGGTTCTTTGGGGATCATTACGCAATTTTTGGTTCATTTTATGCCATAATGTCTCGATAACTTTAAGGTCTGGACTATTCGAAGGCCATGAGAGGACATTAATGTTATTATCACCAAACCATTTTTTAGTAGTTTTCGCCATATGGCATGGAGCACCGTCCTGTTGGAATATAAAATTCATATAAATTTCCTGATACTTTAAAAGAAACAATTGTAACACCGATCTACAAAAAAGGCGATAAAACTTTAGTTAATAACTACCGACCAGTATCTTTAACAACTCATATATCTAAGATCTTTGAGAAGATAAAAATTAGACTCACTTCATATATGTCTAAGTACAAAATATTGTCTCCACAACAGTATGGTTTTAGAGAAAATACTTCAACAGAAGATGTCATCCTAGTGTTAGTAGAAAAAATATACAAAGCTCTAGATAAAGGTAGACAATGTATGTGTGTATTTATGGATCTTACAAAAGCTTTTGATACTGTAAGTAATGAGCTACTCTTACAGTCTCTTAAAGATATGGGAATAAGAGGAAACAACCAAAAAATGTTTAAAAGCTACTTTACAAATGGAAGGCAGATTGTTAGAGTTGCTAATAAAACAAGTAACTCTGAAATACTAGAGTATGGTATTCCTCGGGGTACTGTTCTTGGGCCTATACTTTTTAATTCATATATAAACGGACTCTTTTTAATACAAAGCTGCGGTGAAATAATTGGATTTGCTGATGACACAGTAATATTTTATGAGGGACAAGACTGGAATACTCTAAAAACAGTTGCTGAAAATGATTTCGCTTCTATTAAACAATTCTTAGACTCAAAATTACTGACGCTAAATCTAGAAAAAACAAAATACTTACCCATCAGTTGCAATGCAGGTGGATTACCAGAATTTCAAAGTTTAAAGATCACTAGCAATGGAAAAGTGTATAATATTTTATCTAAAAAAGAATATAAGTATCTTGGCGTGTATATTGATAGACATTTAAAATGGGATTGTCACATAAATTATACAATTTAAATTTATAGAGAATAATTTGTAGCTTTTTTTAAAAAACATTTGCCCCTAGAAAAACTTCAAACTTTATACTATTCTCTTGTAGAAAGTCATGTACGTTATGGTATTGAAATTAATAATGAATAAAAAATTTAGATACTCATCAGATATTCTTTATGAAGAAAGCAAAATATTAGATATAAGACAAATGTACTTTGTTTCCACCAATCTAAAATATTACCCTACTAGACTCACAGCTACAATACCATCTCATACTTACCTAACCTGGAATAGATTAAACCATATTGTACCCTTGGTGGAAAGATCTATAACTCAAAGGTCTTTTTCATATCTAGGGCCTAAGATGTATAATCAGTATAATCACTTACCAGAGGAAGTGCAATCCAAGGTTACTTTCCATTTGTTCAAGAAATATTTAAAAATATTTTAAAATATATTTCAGATCTAATTGAAAATAAAACCTAAAAAGTACTCACTATTTATGAAGGATTGATGTTTTCGTATTATAATGTATCAAGTAATATTTATATCAGACAATTCGATGGTATGATCCATTTCTCCTTCTTTCCTTATTTTTTTTAGTATTATTATTATTATTATTATATGTATATTATGTATGTTATGTATTACATGTATTACATTGCGTAACAAGTGTTAAGTCACTTAACGTAAGCCAATTTATTCATTTCTCTTTTTTTTTTCTGTACCAAATGTGTTTTATAGGTAATATTTTAATGAATAAATTATTTTTATTATTATTATGTCCGGGTAAAGACCTTCCTTGCTTGGCACAAGGCTATTTTTCAAAATTTCCTGATATTTTGACACATTAATTGTGCCTTCTACCACCTCATAATTTCCTAGACTCACTGCGGACATGCACCCCCAAATCATGATGCCTTTATGAAATTTTACTGTCTTTTTGAGGCAATCTTTATGAAATGCTTAATTTTTAGTTCAAATAACTCGTTTACGAAAGTTTCCCACACACATCAATCTTCGCCGCGTCACTAAATATGACTTTGGACCAGTCTTTAACGGTCCATGACATCTTCGATTTTGCCCAATTAAACTGATTTATTTTCTGCTTCTCTATTAGTAGAGGTTTTTCTTTCGCCTAAAACATTACGAATAATAAAAAATCATGAATTTATTAAAATCTTTTGAACCGACCTTATAAAAACTAAGTCCTGATTTGGGTATCCACTTTCTACAGCACTCTCTCGATAAAGTGTCCTGTTTCTGCATTCCACTTGGCTGTGATGGCCCTTAAAGTGTTACGACGACCCTGTTTACAAATTTTTATAACTAATCGTCGATCCCTATCAGACACACTTCTCGGTCTTCCCGAACTTTTAGTTTGAACACTCTCACGATAGAGCTTAAGTGTGTCCCCAACTGTCGACTTAGCCAAATCTAATTCATCCGCTATTTCACATATTTTTTTACCCTGACAATATTTTTTGATTATCATTTCACGAATTTTTACATTTGTCGCACTTCCTCTGGCCATTTTGGGTTAAATTTATCAGAATTTTTGGCAAAACAGTTTATAACAAGTAACTGTTAATTAATTACCAACTTACAATAAGAAAATAACAAAGTTAGATAAATCCGAACATTTAGTTGTCACGATATTGCGCAATATTTTTGTTTATTTATTCGCACACAGTAAATTTCAATGTATTTAGAAAATAAACCTTTTAAATGTTTATTATAAATGATAGATTTTAATATATTTTTAATGTAGTTCATCAATTTAATAATTTAGTTTGTGTAAATTAACGTTTTCAATAAATTATTGTTTGTTTAAACATTTAGTTGTTAGGGCTCGTACATGTGTATTTTTAAAAACAAAAGTACGATGGGTACCACTTATGCATAGGCTTGGCTTAGAGAATGGGGCAGTGAAAGTGTTAATGACTGTGACTGAGTATTAAAGTTATGAGACTTAATTCATTCAGAATCACAGATTTTATATTGTAGAAGTTGATTTTTTATTTTATTTTTTTTTTATTTTTGATGTAGACATGAAGGGCATTTGTACAAATGGACTGATATTCATATAAAAGCTTCAAATGAAGACAAACAAGTGTATATTCTTGTTTGAAATTAGAGAAATAAATCCATGACCAGGAGACATATTTTCAAATCATGGGAGTACTCAGTTCTCTCAAGATTTTCATGAAAAATGTCATATGTCAACTTGGAAACGTTATTTTTAAAGCCAGTAAGAACTTATTGACTTTTCTCTTGGTTTATTTATTTCAGCCTTTTAAATAATGTTTTCACATTGGTGTATGTCATTTCTCATGAAAATCTTGAGTTAAATAATTTCTCTAGCGTTTGAAAACTGCTTTGAAAGTAGCTTCCATAGATATTTATTATTACTACCGTGATCACATTATTTTAAGACAGATGTATTTATTTCAAGAAACCATAAAAAAGTTAAGTTAATATTGAAAGTCAATGAAAACATTTATTACCATTATTAAACCTAATATTGAATCATTTCTGGTGTTTTTGAAGATAAAAGCTTGAAATTTTGGGTGATCGTTCAGGATAGGGGAATAATAATAATAATAATGAAATTTTTGAGATATTTAAAGTGAAAGGTTTCAGATATTAGAAACTATTCTCTCCAAAAAATCATAAATTAGCCATGGAAATAGTTT